ACCAAAACAACATGGTACTGGAATAAAAACAGACACTTGGATCAATGGAACAGAATGTAGAATCCTGAAATCAACTCTCATACTTACAGCCAACTGATATTTGAGAAGGGCAACCGGAACATACATTCAGGAAAGAACTGCCTTTTCAATAAATGGTGCTGGAGAGCCAGCCCGTGGCTCACTCGGGAGAGCGTGGTGCTGACAACACCAAGTCAAGGGTTAGGATCCCCTTACTGGTCATCTTTTTTTTAATAAATAAAAAATAAACGGTGCTGGGAAAACTGGACAGAATGAAACTAGACCTGTACCTCTTGCCATATACCAAAACCAACTCTAAGTGAATTAAAGACTTATATATAAGACCTGAAACTATAAAACTACTAAAAGAAAACAGGGAAAACACTTCAGGAAGTAGTATTGGGCAAAGACTTTATGAAAAAGATTGCAAAAGCACAGGCAACAAAAGAAAGAATAAATGGGATTTTATCAAACTAAAAAGCTTCTGCATAGCAAAAGAAACAGTTAACAGAGTGAAAAGACAACCTACAGGATGGGAGAAAATATTCATAAATTATGCATCCAACAAGGGATTAATATACAGAATATACAAGGAACTCAAACAACTTAACAGTAGAGAAAAACAAGTAACCCCATTAAAAAATTGGCAAAAGAGCTAAACAGGTATTTCTCAAAGGAAGATTTACAGATAGATGGCCAACAGACACTTGAAAAAATACTCAACATCACTAAGCATCGGGGAAATGCAAATCAAAACTACATGGAGATATTATCTCACACCGGTTAGACTGGCAGTTATCAAAAAGACAGAGAATAGCAAATGCTGGTGAGGATGCGGAGAAAGGGAAACCCTCCTACACTGTTGGTGGGACTGTAAATTAGTGCAGCCTTTATGGAAAACAGTATGGAATCTCCTCAGACAACTACAGATAGAACTGCCATATGACTGAGCAATCCCACTGCTGGGTATTAACCCAAAGGAATGGAAATCATCATGTCAAAGGGACAGCTGCACTCCCATGGTTATCACAGCTCTATTTATAATAGCCAAGAGCTTGAACCAACCTAAATGTCCATCAACAGATGACTGGATAAGGAAAATGCGGTATACTACATAGCATAGTACAATGGAATACTACTCTGCCATAAAAAGGAATGAAATTCTGTCATTCACAGCAACATGTACGAACTTAGAGCAAATCATGTTAAGGAAAATAAGCCAGACGCAGAAAGAGAAATACCACGTCCTCACTCATAAGTGGGAGCTGAATAAAAATAAACAAATTCTAAAAAAAGAAAGAAAGATACAACAATCACAATAATTCATTGAACTTTCAAAAGGAGAGAACTAAGGTCACCAGAGATGGGTAACTGGGAGGAAGAGAGGAGTTAGGGAGAAGCTGGTAAAGGGCCGCAAAAAAATGATTACATTGTATAATGATAAATATAGTAAAATCAGAAACAGAACTTANGCCTTTATGGAAAACAGTATGGAATTTCCTCAGACAACTACAGATAGAACTGCCATATGACCGAGAAATCCCACTGCTGGGTATTAACCCAAAGGAATTGAAATCATCATGTCGAAGGGACACCTGCACTCCCACGCTTATCGCAGCTCTATTTATAATAGCCAAGAGCTTGAACCAACCTAAATGTCCATCAACAGATGACTGGATAAGGAAAATGCGGTATACTACATAGCATAGTACAATGGAATACTACTCTGCCATAAAAAGAAATGAAATTCTGTCATTCACAGCAGCATGTATGAACTTAGAGCAAATCATGGTAAGGAAAATAAGCCAGATGCAGAAAGAGAAGTACCACGTCCTCACTCATAAGTGGGAGCTGAATAAAAATAAACAAATTCTAAAAAAAGGAAAGAGAGATACAACAATCACAATAATTCATTGAACTTTCAAAAGGAGAGAACTGAGGTCACCAGAGATGGGAAACTGGGAGGAAGAGAAGGAGTTAGGGAGAAACTGGTAAAGGGCGGCAAAAAATGAATACATTGTATAATGATAAATATAGTAAAATCAGAAACAGAATTTAGGGCCGGCCTGGTGGCGCACTGGAGAGTGCGCCGCTTGGGAGCGCGGCAGCGCTCCCGCCGAGGGTTTGGATCCCATGTGGAGATCGGTTCCCGCTCACTGGCTGAGCGCGGTGCAGGCGCAACACCGAGGGTTGCGATCCTGTTGCTGGTCAGTAAAAAAGATAAAAAGGAATAAAATAAAAAATAAAAAATAAATAAATACATAAAGAAAGAGAACTTAGCAAGAAGCAAAATGCATTTTTATCTATCAGCAACAAACGGTTAGAACATGTACTTATACAGATATTTACAGTACTATTAAAGTATTAAATACTGAGAGATAAATTTAACAAAATATGTGCAAGACCTGTACACAAAAAGTCATGAAATTATTGACAGAAATTAAAGGAGGCTTAAATAGAAAGAGATATTATGTTTATGGATAGAAAGAGTCGATATTGTGAAATATTCACTTAAAAAAATTGATCCATACATTCCATTTTATCACATTGAAAATCCCAACAAGGCGGGGGTTTTTTTTTAGGAGTGGGGTTTGGTTTTTGCAGGAGGAGGGGTTGAGGAGTGGCTAGTGGAACTTGGCAGGTTGATTTTCAAGTGTATCAGAACTGGCATTGAAAGTCAGTTGGTAAAGTATGAGTTCTAAATAAATGATGCCAAAACAACTCGTTACTCATATAGCAAAAATGAATTTGAATCCATTTCTCATACCACATTCCCCAAATCAAGTGAAGGTAATTTAAAGACATATTATTAGGTAGAGCTTTAAAACTTTTGCAAGAGAATATGAGACAGCCCTTTTCAATTAAAGGAAGAGAAGGGTTTCTAAGCTAGACAGAAAAGCACAGACAGAAAAAAGAAATAAAACGGGGAAAGAAATTGTATAACTTAAAATAACTGAACTAAAGACTCAGGAAATAGGTTTAGCTGTAGATTAAACAGCTTAAGAGAGGCTTAAAGAATTGAAGAGAGGTCAGTAGAAATATCTGAAGGACAGAGAAAAAGAAGGAAAGAAAACAGTCACAGTAGTATGCTGAACTTTCAAAAAAAGAGAAGAGAACTGTGGTTATTAGTGGTGGGAAGTGTGGGGAGGGGACTAACGAGAACTGGTGAAGGGTCACAAAGATTGATTATGGTTTATAAACATGAATTTACTAATTTTCCTGACTTGATCACCACATATGGGACACAGGTATTGATATTCAAATCTATACCCCACAAATGTGTGTGATCAATAATGTTTCAATAAAAAAACAATCAATCAATAAATAAAAAGAAAATAGAGAAAAGGACTTAAGGACATATGGGACATAATGAAAAGAACTAATGTGTAATTGGAGTCCCCAAAAGGGGTAAAAAAAAAAAAAAAAATACATATTGAGCAGAAGCAATATTTGAAGAAATAATGGCCAGGAATTTCCAAAACTGATAAGATGTCAAGCCACAGATTCAAGAAACAATTTGAACCCCAAGCAAGAGAAGAACAAAAAAACCGCACCTACACACATCAGGTTAAAACTGCTG